TCAATGCTTTGCTTAACTGGGGGAAAGAAAACCCACATTGCAGTTTGTTCAGCTTGATAAGCTGAAATGAGTTGGCTGCAGCCTGAAGTAACACAGGTTAATTCTGGCATTGCAAATTCAGTTCTTTTTCTTTTAGGTGCCTCACTCAGTTATTCTACTTTGTAGTGCTATTTTTAGAAGTACTCCATGTTTGGGAGGGAGAACATCGCCCATATCTTTTCCTTGCAGGAGCCTTTTGGTTCACATCAGAATGTTCTGATTACAGAACATTCAAATTCTATAATCAAATGAATGCCTGAAGGATTTTAATCATGTTACATGCATATACGTTGCTAGGTTAACGTGTCTTGATGATGCATCACACCAAAGCTGTGTCTTTTGGATTGCACAGCATCAGCAGGGAGACCCTGTTGGTTTTTGGTTTGAAATAGGCTCTAGAGATCTGTCTCTCGCGGATACATCCACTGCCTGTGAACACTGCTGAGTCACTAGAAATACTTCTTATGGGAAGAGAAGTTTAACGGAGAAATAGCTGCCTGATAAGAATGTGGGTTAGGACTTTGCAGTGGAAAATACTCCCTTTATTCAACAGTGTTGAAAAGTAGCTGCCTGTAGGCTGACAGCCTGCACTTTTTGGCTGGTGGTACAATCTGTATTTTATCTCCACCACGGAAAAGACTGTTTGACAAGTTAGTGTTGGTTACGTGGAAGAGCTGGGAATGAAACCATGACTGTTATGTTGCTCTGGTGACTAAAGCTATGGCTTGAAAATAAAGATGGCAAACGATGTCATGTAACCTCGTTCAAGCAGATTTAGTAGCAAACACAACTCAACCTGGAATAGATACAGAAGTACTCAGTTGCCTTAATTGTTTCAGGATTCAGCTAGGAATTGAGGGTTGGAGTGCTCTAAAAAGGGCGTATCTAAGGACTGGGCTTCACAGAAACAACCACAGCTCTTCTGTGTGTGCAATTTTATGGTTAACTGGAGACATGCCCTGTTGAACACATATTTTAAATTTGTTACTAATCCCTCCCCCAAAGGATTTGATGAAGCAAGTAGCAATAGTCAGTGAACTACTATATGTAGGAAGTGTTGGAAGTGTTTGACTGCAGTGATTTGCGGTACTGTGGGATAGTGCTAATGTTTGCTCTGGGAGCCAGGCTTAGAAGTTGCTTCTTGATTACAGCCAACTGTGAGCAGCTTAATCTTGGGGGGGTAATTTTCTGGTGGGCTATTGACAAACCTCCCAATAGTGAGTCTTTTCTTCACTTGCTGTCCCTGAGAGACTAGCGTCTAAGCAAACGGGCTCTTTTACTCAAGCCTGATGCCCATCTAGACAACGTACATTGATCTTGTTTAACGTGAATTTTTCTTTTCCTGTCCAGTTGGATATACTGAAGGTAATCCATGAGCAAGCCTCATTTAATGCAGGGGAGTCAAACAGACTTGTGTAAGTGGGAATCTACCATGTTGTAGCACGTGTAAACATCCTACACTCTCAGCTGTGAACTCGAGGTGGCTGGGAGAGGATTGTTTACGCCTTCTGCCATGGAGTGAACGTCTGGTGGGATGCGTCTTCTGTAAGGTGCAAGATCTGACTGCTCCTCTGGGGAGCTTAAGAATTTTGCTTCTTGAGTGTTAACAGCTTGCCACTTAACATAATCTCTGAAAATCTACTTCTTTGCCTAAAATATTGTTAATCATAAGGGGCTTTTCTCTCCTAAAGACATGCTTAAATAAAACAAAACAGCAGTATTACAGCCCATGCTTCTGACAGCGAGCTAGAGCAGAGCCTTTTGTTTCTTCGTACTGTTGAGATATTCCTGCTACCAGCAGAATGGGGCTGTTAAGCCATGGTACAAGATGAAATTCTTACCATTCTGGAAAAGCTGGACTTAAATAAATAAATAAATAAAGGCATGACAATCTACATCAAGTCCGTGACTTTTATTCCCAGGGGTTTAACACTGGAGCTAGATTGAGATTTGTGTTGGGCATGTAGGCTAAGAAGAGGGTTTTGTTGACAGATGAGGCTTTGTAAGTCTTCCTGGTGCATTTGCAATTGATTTGATGTTAAGATAACAGGGATGATGGAATTTACTGATGAGGAGTTGGGTGGATTTCAACTACGATAATTTTATTCATTTGCTTCTCATAATGAAATTGGTGACTACATTATTATACATAGGGTTTTGGAAATGTTTTCGATTTCCATATGGCTGAATAAATGAGGAAACTCGTTTTGATTTGTCATTTCAGATTTACTTAGTTAAACTGTTGCAAACAAGGTATTAAAGATACTTTCCCATGGAGCATGCTTGTGGAGGGGATGCTTCAGCTGGGGGCGGAGTGGGGGTTAGATGTTGCTCTGTTCCCTCCCCATTTACCTCTCTTTTACCTGTGCTGCAGGAAGAGGTGCGTCAGGCTGTGACCCCAGCCGAGCCTGTACAGTATTATTTCACTCTTGCTCAGCAGCCTGCTGCGGTGCAGGTTCAGGGGCAACAGCAAGGACAACAGACCACCACATCCACGACGACTATCCAGCCGGGACAGATCATCATCGCCCAGCCTCAGCAAGGGCAGGTGAGCGACGAGCAGCAGTCAGGGGCTTTGCAGTTCAGTGGAGCCAGTGAAACCCTCAACTCGCCCAATTGTAATGTATTGCAGCATCCTCTTCTCATTGCTCAGAACAGTCAATAACAATATAGAAATGTGTGTCCTGGTCATGACGAGGTGTTCAGATACCTTAGTAGCAAGGGTCATCTAGGTCCTGGGTTCCCTTCATGATGATTTAAGCTGTCAACAAGTAACAGTGGGTCTAGGAAGCAGTCCGTCTATTACAATCTTTGTATCTTGTAGCTATTTCACCTGTGTTCAGCCCTTGCCTGGTCCCTCTCCCTGTTTTGAATGCAGAGCACCCCTGTGACGATGCAGGTTGGAGAAGGCCAGCAGGTACAGATAGTGCAGGCCCAGCCGCAAGGACAGACCCAGCAGGCTCAGAGCGGAACTGGGCAGACCATGCAAGTCATGCAACAGATCATCACCAATACGGGAGAAATCCAGCAAATACCGGTAAGACTTTACCAGCAGAAATGTGTAACAGTCTTGAGAGCAATCTGTCTGCTGGTGTTCTGGCATGAGACTGTATATGTATGCTTTTTTAACTGTAAGAGGAAGATTGGCTTGAATGGTGTGTTTCCTGCACTTAGAGAGGAAAACTAAGCAGGTGTGACATGAAGGAGGAAATAAATCTAACCGATCTAGTGTAGACTCATTGCCCGCCCCCAACACGTTCCCCTGAGTGAAATAGTTATGATTAGGAAGCAGTAAATAAAATATTTTTTGGATAAGCCTTAACTCTTTACTACAGCATGGTTTCAGTAAAGCATAATTAACTTCTTTTGCCTTTACTTGGTTCTGCCTCTGCAATCTGAAGTCATGACCTGGCAGACTTGAGTGGGAAAGGTGCCATCTGTGAGTTATTAATAGACTTTTATGTTATAAGAAATATTTCTACAAAATACTTGAGCTGGTTGGAGGAACGGCTTTGCAGAACCAGAAAACATCCTCACTTTCACATCAGTATAGATCTGCTGTGGCCTTAAGAATGGGATTTTGAGTACACAGCATCAGCAGTAACATTCTGGCATGTGTCCTAGGTAAGCACATGGGTTAAAAAAATGTCACCTTTTCCCCCTGCTCTCTGTAACTTACGATCACAACAAAGCTGAGTCTTTTGGTTCCCATCTGGAAAATTTCACACCTCTTGAAGAAAAAAAAAAAAATCTGTCCAGTTCTGTTGTACTTAACCAGCAACCCAAAGGTCAGACCAAGTGACCAAGACAAGCATTTTACTTTGTCTTTGATTTCTGTTACTGAGGAGTGTACCCACAGCTGTGGCAAAACTGATCTTTCACACAAGTTTTGCTTTTCAAGAGTTGCTAAGCTTCCCTCTGTACGTCTGGCAAATGTCCGTGCTTTGACATAGCATCTTGAAAAAGGTTTAGATTGTGGGTGTTGCCGGATTTTTCCAATTGACTTAAAAATTCTTTTCGTCTCTTAAGTCTTCAGCTGATTCCTACTGCTTGGCTTAAGGTGTTAGTCAGAAAGGAATTGAATTGCTTGCCAAGTATGGTGTTCTACTACAAGCAACCTTTTTTCTTCTCTGGACTCTCTACTACCTTTCTTTTACTTTTTTTTTTTTCCTTACTTTCCTTATGAAAGTCTCTCCAAGATACTTGTTCTTTAAAGCATTTTGGAAGGAGATTTCCACCTCCGGGCTCAGTGAATCTGTTACAACAGTACTGAATGTTGCTGAACCAAAGGAGGATGCTGCAATAAAAGAACAGTTCAGACTTGTTTTCCATTTCTTTCCAGTGAATGCTGTAAGTCCCTACAAGAAGGGGGCTTGGAGATCTGCTGGGAGAAAGAATTCTTTATAAAGTAGCTGTGAGGGGGCTGTGACCTTCTGCGGAAAGTACTGTTCTCCACATGGGTGGATCCTGTTGCAAGTGGTCCTGTGTTTTAGGAGTGTGAGACCAGAGGCTTTTTAATTAGTGTCTGGTTTTGGCCAAGCATATGCTTTTACCTTCCTCTTGCCTGGGAGCATCTAAGAACAGGGAGCTGTGACTGGTCCTCAGAAGTTTCTTATGCTGCAGATGTGAGACAGAAACTGCCAAGTGCCAGAGCGTGGTGTCTTTGGGAGCACTTGGGTCTCTAACAATTTTAAGACTGCAAAACAGAGCAACTTAGGAGCAGTGTTTTAATGAGAGAGTCACAATTCACACTTTTGTATCTAGCAGAGATACTGTTTTGGCTGTAATTAAGAGGATTCTTCTTAATCGCAGCGTGTTGAAGAATCACAGTTCATGCTGATGGAAGCATCTTTCCCTTTGTTCGCTTCCAGCAAGTGAAGTAAAATAGAACATGGAGCCATGCACTCACTGTGAGAGGTTTTTAGTGCGCTAATCTGGAAAGCACTCTTTGTTTGGTTTCACAGACTTACAGTCCTTGGTCTCTTCAGCGGTGCTGTCCGTTCTGCTCTCTTGCTGCTGTGCTTTTCTTATTTTTCCCTTGAGTTTCCTTTCTCTCTTAATATAGTCGGTGCTGTCTTCTAATAGTTCCTTTTCACTCTGTTTCAGCAGAGAATCTTTCGTAACGCGAATACGACAGTTTGAAACACTTTTATAAAACTGGTAGTGCCTCTGGCGATTGCAGGAGTGTTGAGAGAATCTTACTAATGTTCTCTGTTGGTTTTCCGCGTCCTCCTGATACTGTGTATGCTTCTCTACTGTGATTTACCGTTCACTCTAGGACCACAGGTTGCCTGTGGAAAGGTGACTCTTATTTTTTATAAACTGAGAAAATCTGGAAGGAAGTGTATACATGAATTAAATGGTAATCACTTGTTTGTCCACATTAACTTTATGTTAAATTTAATCTGTGTCTTAGCTAGACCTCACTGGGCAGGGTCTTTGAAGCTTACTCTCGTTTCTGGAAGAACGCTCTTACTAAATCGCTTTCACCCATTCAGTTAGTAGTGTGGTTAAAATCTAAGCAGGAAGCCCCCAATGTGGAAAACATGATCTGCTGGCAGATCTTGGTGCAGAAACAAATTCTTTATTGAAATGTTTATGCTCATGTGGAGTTTATTTGCTCTTGAAATAATATCAGAGCTTTTAGACACAGCTGGTGAAGTCAGTGGCGTTTGTGTAATTGCCAAGACCATGTTCTAGGCACTTGAACCTTTGTCAGTGAGCGGTTTTTAAAGTATTTTGTATGTCCTTCTTTCCCCTTTTTGAAAAGAAGAAAATTGAAAACATTTTTTGTATATAATAAACCTTAAGACTGTGAATCTAAATATTCTAAAGTTAAATAACAGAAAGAGGAAAAAATCAGCAGTAGTGTCAATCATACTGTGACCTTTTTATTGCTTCTCAAATGTGTATGAGCTGTTTATATCACAGGTTACGGTGATAACGTTGTCTTCCTGTCCCACACCCCCAAGCATCTAACCTTGCAAGATCAGGGTTGTAGGAAATAAATTTGTGTTTGAATGTTATACGCAAAGCATTGATACAGAAAGTATCGGCCTTTGCCAGGTGGGGATTGACATATGTTGGCAGAGAGTTGCATTAAAAGCTTCCAAATATATCCTTGGGTTTTGTCATCTCTACTGTCTTTATTTATGTGAAAATTTCCCATACATTCTTTAATATTTTTTTGGCAGGATATAATAAGAGTGTCAGTATGTGTGGCTAGCTCATAACAGTTTTCTCTATGTGAAATGATACATCAAAGTAGTAACTCAGTTCTCATAACCAAAAAGAAAAACAAGTGTCCTCAAAGCTCTCTGAAATTTAGCAATTAATATGCTTTAGCTACTAACTGACCACTCCCGTTCTGGAGAAAGAAGTAACGTTGTGCTTCCTTGGGGTTTTACTTCAAGAACCTGCAGGAGTTCTGTGGACTTCGTTCTTGCTCTGCCAGGGTCTGTGGTAGTTACTCATCTAAACTGTTAATCAGCTGAAGCCTCCCGGTGTCATCTATTACTCTGGCTTCTGTTGTGGAAACAAGAAGGCAAGTTTGTGTGTTTCAGGTTACACAGTTACCTGTTTAATTTTCTTTCCCTGCCCCCTCCACTTGTCTCCAGGTTCAGTTGAATGCTGGCCAGCTGCAGTATATCCGCTTAGCCCAACCTGTGTCAGGCACCCAGGTAGTCCAGGGGCAGATCCAGACGCTTGCAACCAATGCACAGCAGGTATGCACTATAACAGCAGGGCTGACATTAACTGGTAAAGTGTTGTTCCCTAGCTCCTGAAACTGCAAATTCCAGTCGAATTTACCAACTCTTGGGCTAGGATTCCTGCATTTCTTTTCCTCCTGTTACTTTCATCAGAATAATAAAGCAAGGAGCATAGCGGAAGCCTCCTTTACCTATACATGAAAGGTGCATGCTTATATGTATGTGTGTGTGTGTGTCCCACTGTATAAAGCTCACGCTGCTTCTGAGCTGATTACAGGTAAAACTTCAGTTCATCAACCTTCTCTTTACTTCTGCTCCTTCTGACTGGGTGAGGGAGGAGCAGCCGTGCAACCTCTCAGGAAAGCTCTTGCAGAGGTGAAACATCCAGACCAGCGTTGCTGCCAGCAGGTTGTCTCATGTTCTTGTTGAGACTGGTCGCTAAGGGATTCTTCTCTGCCTTCAGAGGATAGGGAGGCTGCTGTTTTTCTGTGATCCTGGAGGCCGCATTCTCCTCGTGAAAGTCAGAGAGGACGTGCTTGTGTTTGGTTTGGAATGACTGAATCCCATGTCCTTTGTTCTTGACTTGCGGTTAGCACCAGCATGACTGCGGGCCAGCGGCCTAAGCCGTATCTTACCACGTGGTGGGGTAATGAAGTTTGAAAGAGTCTAAAAGCTCTTGAAAGGCAGCAGCAGAATATTGTTAGTGGGGTTCTGACCCTCTCCGAAGTGCTGGCAGTGATCATCCTTCTCTTATCCTTGTAGATAACGCAGACGGAAGTCCAGCAAGGACAGCAGCAGTTCAGCCAGTTCACAGATGGACAGGTAAGAACTTGGACTTGTTGGTGCTATGTCCCTTTGAACTCAAGGGCTAGAAAGACTGTTCTGAAGTCTGCATGTTCTAGCAAATTGGCTCCTCCCGATAAAACACTGCTACTGCTAGCAGTCCCTAACCAGGAGCAGGATAAGTGGATGTTGTGCCAATCTTAATTCAGGTGGATTCTTCGTGTTCTGCTGCCTTTGCTCCCAATTAATGCAGTCCCTTGTACTCTGGGTGGGATCCGTTTTAGCCCTGACCGATTTAGGAATAAGGGTCTTAACATCTAGCTATTGACTGTTGCTTAAGTAGCCTGAACTCAATCTGGGCATCAGAAATTCACAGAATTACTTGGTTATGATTTAGCAGCAAATGTCTAGTGGCAATTTGTGGTCTGGTTTTTGGGGGGAGACAAATTTTACTTGAACCTGAGAGTTGCTGTTAAGGCCGGCACTAAACGTAATGCACAGCGTTGTGCTTGGAGGGAGGAAGGTGGTGCTGGGTGTGATGAGAACTGACAGTTGTTTCTTTCCCCTGCTGCTGTCTCTGCCAGCAACTTTATCAGATCCAGCAAGTGACCATGCCTGCAGGCCAGGACATCACCCAGCCCATGTTCATTCAGTCCACCAACCAAACCTCAGACGGCCAAGCCACACAAGTGACAGGGGACTGAACAGGAACGCTGTAGCAAGTCTTCTCTCTGCGGGGAAACGAACGCGTACCAGCGTGATGTCTGCCGTACCAACCTGGTCTGGTGAATACATCTGCTTCTGTGTATCTGTACTTGATATTAAGCCTATAGTAGGCTGCAATCTCCGGTGCACTATACGCCTTCCTCTGGTGGGTATGAGAGAATATCCAACAGACACTGACAAGAATGCAATATTTTTATTTTTATTTTTAGAAATCCATATTTCAGTGTATTCAGCTGCTTGTTCAAACCTGTAAAACTGAAAGAGAACTAATCAAAAGGAATTTGTAGCATCTCATTGAACAATGCGTAAAACGTTTTTATCTAGTAGAACTATTAAAGGGTACTGCATCTGGTTTGTTGCAAGAGCCTTATTCCTGGTATTCTGTTTGTATTTTTTCTCTGAATAGAGCTAGATTCAGTCCTCCCATCTCAGTGGTTTATTAGGGGTGTATGGGGGGAGTGTGTGTGTGTGTGTGTTAGATTTTCCTCTCCTGCCTCCTTTTTTGGTTAGCCGGAGCATTGGCTATATGCAGCTTAAGGGCAGGGAGTAGGGGAGCAGTAATTAAAGTGAAAACAAAAAAACATTCCTTGTATGATGACTGTATTTTCTAAGGGCAAAAGGTTCTTTCATTTGGCCTGGTTTCTTCCCGAAACACTAATGGAAGTCTGGACAAACCCCAGCCCTGCTGTTAACTGTTGTACTAGCTTCAGTCGATGCATGTAATATACGCTTCATAAAATGAAATAAATTTCCTTTGTAAGATAATGTGTGTACTGTCTTTGAGATCCAGTCCTCAGTATCAACCTGCCAAGCAAAGAGCATCCCAAATCCCTGGAAAATACTACACCTGAAGTACTGAAACTAGCAACAACGTTTAAGGGTGGCTTGGACAACGGCTCAAGCGCCACGAGGGGTGAGATTGGAGAGCCGTGGGTGCCTCCCACACCAAGGGGCTCTCCATGCTGATGTCGTACAGCAATTAATTCCACAGAGTCAGTATCAACCTGCCAAGCAAAGAGCATCCCAAATCCCTGGAAAATACTACACCTGAAGTACTGAAACTAGCAACAACGTTTAAGGGTGGCTTGGACAACGGCTCAAGCGCCACGAGGGGTGAGATTGGAGAGCCGTGGGTGCCTCCCACACCAAGGGGCTCTCCATGCTGATGTCGTACAGCAATTAATTCCACAGAGTGTGACCCTTCAGCTGCAGGTACCAAGGCTGCATCCCCTCTCCCTGCAGCTCCTCTGTCCAGCGTCCAGCTGAACCAGCAGGCAGGAGTTTGGGGCGGGTTTGAGCAAACTCCCGAGGTCAGGGGTTTAATTGAACGTTCTGCGAGGATCCCGGCAGCGTTAGGCCAAGTTTTAGGTCTTAGCTAAAAGTGGGATGCGAGTTTGTAACTGAGAACCTTTGTGCTTCCAGCACCAGGCACCTGACATAGTTGGCGCTCTGTCCAGGAGAAGCTCGGTGGCTTTGTGCAGTGCTTGGCAGAGCCGGGGACAGCGCCAGCACTGGCACTTGTTTTTCACTGGCAGAAGCGTGAAGTTTGCCACAGTTTCGTGATGAGGAGAGGCCGGCTGCTCCTGCGTGTTGCATCTTAACCCGGTGCCTGGGTCCAGGCTGCTTCGCCCCCGCGAGCGCTTTCCCTGGCAGTGCCCGGCCCATCTGTGTGGGGCCAGAAGCTCACCCTGGTGCAGGTGCCTGCCTTGCCCTGCCGGGGCGAGAACCGCAGCGGGTAGCTGCTCCTGGGGAAGGAAAACTCCACTTCAGCATTTGGCTGGTGCAAACTACTAAATCTGGGCCAGGTTGTTCCAGTCAGGCAAGGGAGCTTGCTGCGTTACCTGCACCTCCTGGGCTTTCTAAATGTCAATTTTCTTTTTTTTTCTTTTAAATTTTCC